ATGTGAGGACATAAGATTTGAAGGGGGCCAGTGGTGAAATGATATAGTTCAAATACATGACCCCATCCAAATCTCATGTTAAATTAGATTCTCCAATGCTGGAGGTGTGGCCTGGAGGGAGGTGTGTAGATTATGGGAGTGGATCTCTCATAGCTTGGTGCTATCTTTGTGATTGTGAGTTCTCATCAGATCTGTTCCTTTAGAAGTATGTAGTACCTCCCCACCCCAATTGCTTTCTTGCTCCTGCTTTTGCCAAGTGACATGCCTGCTCCCCCTTTGCCTTTTGCCATGATTGTAAGTTTCCTGAGGCCTTTCTAGATGGTAAGCAGATGCCAGCACAAAGCTTTCTGTAAAGCCTGCATAATCCAGTTAAATCTCTTTTCTTTATAAATTCCCAGTCTCGGATATTTCTTTATAGCAATGTGAGAATGGCCTAATACACAGTTCTCTATAAGACTGATGACTAGGGAAAAATACAAGTAATATGGAGATTTGGTGTTCAGAGCATTTGTGTTCAAACCCTGCCATTACAAGTTACTAGCAAACTAAGTAACTTAGCTTCTCTAAGGGAGTTTGCTTTTCCACAAAATATAGTTTTTTTGAGAATCAAATGATATGAAGCCTGCAAAGATAATTTTAACCTGTAACCCAATGCACACACTAGTCAGATTTATGTGTGATGACCAAAGGGAATTAATCAGAAATATATTGTAGATAGTGCACAATGAGAGCACTTCTCAGATAAGGAATGTTATTGAGGGCTCTCAAAACTGTTCTGTATCTTTCCCAAGCCTTGCCTTTTTTTGTTTGTTTGTTTTTTGTTTTTGAGATGGAGTCTCATTCTATCACCCAGGCTGGAATGCAGTGGTGCGATCTTGGCTCACTGCAACCTCTGCTGCCCAGGTTCAAGCAATTCTCCTGCCTCAGCCTCCTGAGTAGCTGGGATTACAGGCGTCTGCCACTGCACCTGGCTAATTTTTGTAATTTTAGTAGAGACGTGGTTTCACCATTTTGACCAGTCTGGTCTTGAACTCCTGACCTTGTGATCCACCTGCCTCGACCCCCAAAAGTGCTAGGATTACAGGCATGAGCCACCATCCCTGGCCCCAAGCCTTGCCTTTTACTCTTCCACCATAGGTGCTCTGCAACTATTCACATCAAAGGCTTTAAAGAACTCCGCAGAGTTTTCTTGTTGACTCAAACCTCTTGCATTTGCTTCTTCTGCTCTTACTCACCTTCTCCTCTGCTCTTCCACTATATGTGCTAAGGGTCCAGTGAGCATCTGATTATAGCCTCTTCTTCTTTGGTGCCCGTACTGTTGCATCACCTTCCTCACTCTCCTTGCCCAGCTGAGGATCACAGGTTCATCTCATACTAGCTCCCTTGTCCACCCATTACAATTACCTGTATATTAATTTTTTCTCCACTAGACTGGGAACTCATGGAGATTTGGGCTTTTGCTTTACTTGTCATTACTATCATTACATCTCAGCACCTAACAAAGTGTAGGCTATAACAGATACTCAAGAAATGTCTGGCTAAATGAATACAATTATATTGATATGAGAACAAAGTAAGATATTTTCTGTATAATCAAATGCATATACAAAGAAATTACAAAATATGTAGAATGGAGCAGGTATAAATATCACCTCTATTCCTCTGTTGACTCATCTCTCCTAAACCCAGGAAAATGACAACCATGAACTTGCTCTTTCACTACTAACAGATGTTGTATTTTAAAAATAATTGTCATCAAGAAAATTTTCATGACTCATGTATCCCCCATATATGCTAACTTTAGAATCCATTGTTTTAAAACCAAACAGTGTAAAGTTTTTAAGGTATATATGTACATTTTTTCTAAACAAATGAGAATGCAGAGAGCAATGGGTTTCAATACAGTTTACCTTTGGGAGTACTTTGTCTGTCTTATGTATACTCACATCTGGTTGGTGCTAATAAAAAATGAATTTCATACTTCTTCTTCCTTTGTCATTAAAAATACCTAAATAGTTTTTCTAACTTTTTAATTTTATACATCATTGCTTTCTAGTATCACAGGAAATTGTGTGTGTGTGTGTGTGTGCGTGCGCGCGCGTGTGTGTGTGTGTCAGAGAGGGGGAGAAAGAGAGAGAGAGAGCAAGAGATTCTGTCATCAGATCCTCTAGACCCTATCTCCACTGTAATGAAGCTTCAGCAAAATTTGAAAGGCCTGTGTGTTTTTGTTTTAATAAATGCATCCCCGAGAAAATGAGTCAGACTAAATAAAAAGTGGGCCAGTGAAGGAGATTCAGAAAGATAATAGCCCAATATGCCAAGAAATATAAGCATGGCTGAGCTAATTCATTCTCTGGTGTTTCATAATTTTCCTTGTGACTTCTAATAATACACCTATTTATTGATACAGACCCTAGAGATAAGAATAGAAACACCATTTTAAAATATACTTGTATGGTTGTTGTAAACATGCAGTCTTTGTTACCCTTTGTAATGCTTAGGAAAAAAAAGTCATTTAAATTGTGATATTTTTGTAAAGTGAACCTATAGCAAATAACAGAGTCAGTTTGAATTATAAATCCATTAAAGCACTAAATCATCAAAATTAGTAATGCGGAGAAATGGGGCACATTGCTTTCTACTAGGCTAGATTTAGAATGAGTTAGATAAGATAATATGACTTAAAAAGAAGAGTGACTCAGGATCATAAAGTTACGTTTATTCTTAGGCTAACTCAACCACCAAAGGGTAAACTATTTGCCACCTAAGAATTGGGTACATTTAAGCTCTTACCGCAGTGATTTTCAGCCAAGCCATGGGTCACTTAACAACATCTGGACACATTCCTGGTTGTCACAACTGAAAGGAGGTGCTATTGGCATTTAGCGGGTAGATGCCAAAGATGTTACTAAACATCCTGCAATCACAGGACAGCCCACACAGCAAAGAATTATTTACCCCGAAGTGTCAATAGTGCCATGGTTGAGAAATTCTGCTTTACAGGAATTCTCAGGAAGTTGTAATTCTTTTTATATTGGGCAATGTTGTTATTAACTGAAAAGGTACCTTAGTTACTGTGGTTTTAACTGGAAAATTACATTTTAGTTGGATTATTACCATGTTGAAATATTAATGACTTGGTGACATAATAAAACTAACACTAAAAACATTTTTAAGAGTCATTAATTATAAAGAGTTTAGGAAGTTACCAAAACCCTTACAGCCGATATTTACTACCGCATGTTTCAGTTTGCTAATGCTACAATATAACATCTGATGAAACTCTAATTATGAATCAACTTTACAATGAAATTTGATATGAGCATTTCACTGTTATTATTTTTTTCCCACAATAAGTCCATTTTCTTTTTAGGTGAAATATTAATTATAAATTAACTAAGTTGTGATTATTTAGGCCCTCCCCTTTACTGGAAACAATTTAAAACGTACAGAGTGATGTTCTATAATCATTATTTAAAAACACCATCTGTACTGCTCAGAATTTAAAGTGAACCTGAATCACAGGAGTTCCTCTCTAAGAAAAACCTGGTCCTTGAAATTCACAAAAAGGATAAATAGTATATAATTTATCTCCTTCTTAATATATTTTAGGTCCTCTGAATCCGTTTACCCCTGAGTATTCTCTGCTTGAATAAAGGAAGCTTGACATGGTTTGGGTCTGTGTCCCTGCCCAAATCTCATGTCCAGCTGGAATTCTCAATGTTGGAGGTGGGGTCTGGTGGGAACTAATTGGATCATGAGGTGGATTTCCCTTTTGCTGCTGTTCTCGTGAGAGTGAGTTGTCGCAATACCTGCTTGTTTAAAAGCGTGTAGCACCCCTCACCTCATTCCTCATCTTCCTGCTCAGTCAAGTAAGATCTGCCTGCTTCCCCTCCACCTTTTGCCATGATTGAAAATTTTCTGAGACATCCCTAGCCCTGATTCTTGTACAGCCTGCAGAACCATAAGCCAATTAAACCTCTCTTCTTTATAAATTACTAGTCTCAGGTATTTCTTTATAGCAGTGCAAGAACAGACTAATACAGAGCTTTAAAAGGATTTGAATATATTTTAGCTAGTTCTTACAACTATAACCTTAGGCATATTAAATAAAATGCCATCTTTAATTACCAGAAAATACATGGTAAATTATAAACATAACAACAATAATGTTTAATGCATACCAAATATCGGTGTTCCTACCAAAGGGTGCTGTCTTCATATGGTTTGTTTTGGCAAAAAACATAGTACCCAGCTTAAATACACTGAAGTTCTGACAAGTATTGTGAACTGAAAATACATAAAAAGATACATGTTTTCAGCAAGTGTGCACAGAAACTGTGTATTATATAACTCATCTGTGATTTTATACTTAAAACCATATGAGTTTGAGGTGTACTCAGTATTTATCTCTGTGAATAACTGACTTTAGAAAAACAAAATATCATTTCCTTCTGGATCATAAAATGCCATTTGTTCATGCCTGTCTAAAAATCATAGATCCATCAGGTAAATGTAAAGAAAATAGCATTACCCAAGTTTCCACTTTTATGTAATAACTCCTACACTGATGAGCAGATTAATTCACCAGGCTGATTCACCATTTTCTTTCACCCAGGGCTCTTAACAAATCTTATTATTGACTATGTAAATTCATACGTGTTTTTTAAAAATTTGATGTTCTCAAGGTACTGGCTTTATAAATTTTTTATACGTTGAAGAATGACTCACAGATGTCTTAAGGTAAATAAGGGGGGGAAGAGAGATTTATATTCCATTTACTTTGCTTTGAGTCTTAGTAAAAGAATAAGCTAAAAAATATATTTTATGTGTGTGGGACTAGCTATGAATAAATATTTTTAGGATAAAACCATTCAATACTACTCTTATCCATATAGTTCTACATCACCTCTTCTCTTATATAGTATAATATCACAGGAGTAAATTGTTTTTCAATCACCCCAAAGTATATAATTTTCTGTTTTAAGGTCCCTCCTCACCTGATTATCAGTTTCTAAATTTTTTGCCAAAGGGAAGTTCAGTTCCATTGCTCTTACTTTTCTTTTTGCTTATCTGAAAACAAACAATGAAAGTCATGGAGTTAGTATATGATGATGATTACCTGGAACTGAAAAACTGGTGGTCATTAGGTTATTTCTGTATGTGAAACATTAACAAACCAAATATACCAGCAAGTGGTCTTTATTATCCTTTAGACACCACTCTGCACCTAGGTAATCTCATTCTGTTCATTCTATTCCTGGCCTTCCACAGGATTGTAATGGGAAACCCCAGGGCTGTGTCCCTGACCCCTCTCTTCTCCCTCCACACCTATACTTAGAAATGCTGTTTCCCATTCCCCAGACTCCTTTCTCTCCTATTCACTCTTGGCCAGGAAAATTTTCCTATCATTAGATGTTTCTATGTCCTGCCTTCAAGGGAATATATTCCCACTTAAAAAGAACATTTAGGGAGGCACAATATTAACCCAAAGAAATGTGTGACCCCCAAATTGGTAATTTCAGACTCTAGTATTTGACTAGCTCTAAGAAAGACAGAAAAAGTTTGAGAAACTTATAATTTATAATATCTTCTAAGACCCTGCTAACTTCTACACATGTGTGTCTCAGTATTTTTTGACAACACGTGTCTGATGAGGAATGGCAGACCTTATGAGTCTGGCCTCTAATGAGAACCTTTTGGGAGTTTTTGCATTCAAATCATACTTAGTTTATACTAAACCTGCTCAGCAAGATTGATGCTTATATTTTATCACATATTTTCAGGCTAAAAAACAGGATCCTTTTAAATTCCAAGCTCCACAATATTTTTTCCTTATAAAGAGCTGTCACAAATTATTGCTGTTTCTTACCAATAACTAAACACACTGCTACGGACTGAGTTAAACCTTGCCCCCAATATTATTTGTTGAAGCTCTAACTCCCAATGTGATGGTATTTGGAGATGGGGTCTTTGTAAAATAATTAGGTTTAGATGAGGTCATGAGGGTGGGGGGCCTCATGGTGAGATTACTGCCCTTCTAAGAGGGGACAACAGAGACTTTTCTTCCTTACTTTCTCTCTCTCTCTCTCTTTTTCTCTTTCTCTCCCTCTGTCCACTTTATGATACCGTGAAATGCCATGAAAAAGCAGCCATTTTCAAGCCAAGAAGAGCACTTTCACTGGGGAACCAAATTGGCGGGCACCTTGATCTTGGACTTTTAAGCCCTCAGGACTGTGACTATGAGAAATAAATTTCTGTTGTTTAAGCCACCCAGTCTATAGTATTTTTTATGACAGCCCAAACTGAAAAATACACACACAAATAAATAGAAAAATAAATAATGAATTGATCCCCTTCATTGTCATTATAAAGACAGTATCAGAAATAAAATACAAAATTTGGCCATAAGAACCCCATCTAAACAAATGAGCTCTTTTATTTTAGAGTACATTTTATCAAGATAGGTGTTTTTTGTTTGTTTGTTTGTTTTTGTTTTGTTTTGCTTTGTTGATGGAGTTTTGCTCTTGTCACCCAGGCTTGAGTGCAATGGTGCAATCTCAGCTTACTACAACCTTCACCTCCTGGGTTCAAGCGATTCTCTCGCTTCAGTCTCTTGAGTAGCTGGGATTACATGTGCCTGCCACCACGCCTGACTAATTTTTGTATTTTCAGTAGAGACAGGGTTTCACCATGTTGGCCAGGCTGGTCTCGAACTCCTGACCTCAGGTGATCCACCCGCCTTGGCCTCCCAATGTGCTCGGATTGATAGATTCTTAATGCATCAGTCTAAAGTCTTGCCCTGAGAGTACCGAAAATGTTAGCTATAAGAAGAGCTCTCATGACTTAATGGGCAACCTTGATCCATATGTGTTACTTCTCCTGGTGTAGCTCACATATCTGTGAAAAGGTGGCTAAGACATTGATATTCTATGAAAAGTTGTAGTGAGCAAGCTGCTAAACATCACCATATTGCTACAGTAAGCTCTGTGTAAGTCTCCAGAAGAGTACCTTGTTTGCAAGTGTTTATTTTATTTTAATGGGTTGTACTCTGAGTAGGACAAAAATCACCAATCAAAGACATCCTACCAACTAAGATGAAAGAGATATAAAGAAAAAAATATTAAGCAATAAAAACACTAATGGCTACCAGGTAGTAGGCCCTTGCTATGTTCTGTAACTGTTCCAAGTGATTGACAGGTAACAACATTCAATCATGAAAACAACTCCGTAGATGTTATATACTCTTTTGATATATTACTGTAAGCTCCTACTTTAAGGATAAAGAAGGGGAGATTCAAAGAGACTAAGTAACTTCCCTAGAACAGTTGGAGAGGTAATAGAAGAAAAGAGATTTGAACCCAACACAAAATGGCTCCCAACTCTTTTATTTCAAGCATGAGATACGGCCTCACAACAATACCCTTCCCAGCTACAGCAAAGGAGGTAAGATGACCCAAATGCAGCATAGAGGCTGAAGAAAACAACCAACTCTGAAGCTAGGAAACATTTTTGTATCCTGCCTTCCAGTCATTATATGATCAGATACTGAGAAACCCTGAGCCTCACATGCTCACTGCCCTAGTAACAATGTACACACAGCCAGTAGACTCATTATATTCAACAAGTGAGAATTCACTGAGCTGAATAATTTCATTGACTCTAGACCTGCTTCATATTTCTTCAGCATATTATTCTTAATTCCCTCAACAATTAAAATCATATCAATGGGCTACACCAATGCCAACATTTGAAGACTTTTGCTTCCAGCTGTGTAAGAGCTATACTTGAATCTGGTGTGACTGACAACATCAGGCTCTAAATGAAATCATGAGGCCACCAAATTATTATGGTGCAACGAGGCCAAACACTAAACCATCAAATAATCTTGGAGGCATTTTGCAGCCAATCTAAACAGTTAATAAAATGAGATCATAGGTTTTCCAGAAAGTAAAGCTAGCCATCCCTGCCTGATTCTGATAAACAAATTTCCATGTGAAATTTGGGGGAAGGAATTTAGAGTCTTCCCTGGGGACTGGGTTCAGTCTCTAGCTATCCCAATTTCAGACTCACCCTGTTATACTACAGGGTGAGGTTGATGTTCTCTTAAAGCTGTTCAGCTCATCTCTCTGATGGCTTAAGGTTTTTTACCTTTTTAATTCTTCCGAATCTATATTAAAATGCCAAATATGATTTTTATTTAAATGCCAACATAGGGTTTATAAACATTATTGAGAAAGTGAAAGTGTAAAATTAGGAGCATACACACAAGATGAAACATCCAAACAAAAGAAGAAGAAAAAATAAAGACATAATGAGAATGAGCAAAAGAGAAAATACACAGAAGGGAGAAATTGCCGCCACTGGATATGGAAAGAGTGGGAACAGATTTTAATTTACTCATGCATTTCTCATGAAGCTGTGGAAGATATGCTCCAAATGCTTACTCAGACTGGGGCTAGAGAATACAGGTTCCTATGGGAACAGAAGCAGCTTACTGCCATGGTAGTCTGTGTTCCAAATGTAAGTTGCAGCAGCAGCCTTCTTTTCCTATTCAGAATATTATGTGTGCTCTCAGTCTCAATTATTGCACTCCAGAGAGCTGTGAAGAGCAAGCCTGTATCCTTAGCTCCTTGTTTCTTCCTGTCTTCCGAATTCAGATGTGTATTCTTTCCAACAGTTTGTCTTTTTTTCCTTCCCTGCAATTTATCAGGCTATCTCCTTTCCCTCAACATTCCTTAAACACCCAGTGCAGTGTATATATTGTGTCTAAAATACAATGCTGCAGAAACGCAAAAGGTCACCTCATGTTGGCCAAACTGCCCAACTATCACCAGAGATGTATACTGCCTCATCAGAAACACACTGCCTATATTCATTTTGTTCTCATTGGTCCCTAAAGACAGATAAACAAATCAGCACCATTTTGAACTAAAGACAAATGAGCTCTCTTAGCCAACAAATTATTTCTGTTGTCTACATAGACATTCTAATACGTTGCACCTTTTCATTACTAGGCTATTGTTTATTGTTATTGTTTACCTGGCTAGTGAGATAATCTTGACATATTATTTTGCAGCTGTATTAAGGTTCTTAGATACTCAGTTATCTTCTCATGCTTGGAAGTGTTTATTAACTAAGAAATAATGGATTCAGTATCCACTTTTTAAAACAGTGTTTCTCAAAATAAAATCTGTATACCACCTGTAAAATAATCACTTCTGTGGTCATTAAAAATGATAATTATCCATCAACCAAAAAGATATATAACTAAATACTGGCACATCTATACAATGGAAGTCTATTTAGCCGTAAATTATATAAGCAACTGATACACACTATAAAATAAATGTTTTACAAATATTGTGCTGAGTGAAAGAAACTGGATGCAAAAGAAGTGCATTTTATATGATCCATTTATATTAGTTTCCTCATAGGAATACAGTGTTCACTTTGATCACCCAAAGAAACTATAAATGGGTCATATAATAGGCACTAAATTCATTGGGCATGGTGGCTGACGCCTGTAGTCTCAGCACTTTGGGAGGCCGAGGCGGGTGGATCACTTGAGGCCAGGAGTTCAAGACCAGCCTGGCCAACATGGTGAAATCCCATCGCTACTAAAAATACAAAAATAGCCGGGCATGGTGGCATGTGCCTGTAATCCCAGCTACTCGGGAGGCTGAGGCAGGAAAATTGCTTGAACCTGAGAGGTGGAGGTTGCAGTGAGCCGAGATTGGGCCACTGCACTCCAGCCTGGGCAACAGAGCGCGACTCTGTCTAAAAAAATAAATGAATAAAATAATGTGCACTGAACTAATAGAAACTGTTAGAAATCAGATCAGCAGTCACTCCTGGAAGGGGGATACTGAGTGGAAAGGAGCATGAGGGAATTTTCTTGGGTGATAAAGATATTCTATGTCTTAATATACATTCACAAAAACTGATCAAATAAAATAATTAAGATCTTAACCTTTCCTTGTATTTAAACTACAACTCAGTTTTTAAAAATGCTGGTTCTGATGTCCTATCACCTAAGCATCTGCATTTATGGGAACAGACTATCTTGAAGAATAACTTTAGATTTACAGAAAAGTTCCAAAGATAATACGGAGTTCCTATATACACTGGACCCAGTCTCCACCACTGTCAACTTTTACATTACTATTTCACATTTGTCATAACTAATGAATCAGTATCGATACACTGTTATTAAGCAAATCCCATACTTTATTCTGAATTATTTGGTTATTTTTTTCCCATTGTCCTTTTTCTGTCCTAGGACCCCACCCAGAATACCACACTGTACTTTGTCATTATGTCTTCTTTAGCATCTCTTTACTATGACAATTTCTTAGACATTGTTATTGTTTTTCATGACCTTGACAGTTTTGAGAAGCACTGGTCAGATATTTCATAACATATCCCTCACTTGAGGTTTGTTTGATGTTTTTCTCATGATGAGAGTAGGGCTATGGATTTTTGGGAGAAAGACCGCTGAAGTGAAGTGTCATTCTTATCACACTAAAGCAATGGTACATATGATCAACATGACATCACTTACAGTGTTCACCTGGATCACCTAAGAAGCATCCGCATTTTAAAACCAGTTCCTTGGATATTTCTTATATTTACTAACTTTCAAAGTGCCATATTAAATTTTAACATTTCACAGAACATTAAACAAGTCAATGTTAGAAGCTGTAACACAACTCTCTGCTCAAAGCCATCTATTACTCCTCAGAAGTGTCTGCCATATCTCTTTAATATGTCTTGTACCTCTGTGTCAGGAGATAGGATGGATACCCTCCGTTTCCCATGGGATGACCTTTTCCCTGAAACTCTCAGTTCCTTTGAAAGTCATGCTACCCAATATGTTTACTGCCCAAGTAACTCCCCCGACTCAGTCATCCACAAGCCTTTGATTGCCCCTGACAATTCCTTCGAGATTTTAGTTTCCAACTATTTCTTTTCCATAAATGCTTATTTCATATTTTTCAGTGACATCAATATCCACATATGTGTTTCTTTCAATACATGTCCTCTCCATTTCTTGCCCCCATCTTTGGTGATCTTACCTCTGTTCCACCTCATCCATGGTCATGGTTAAACTTCATTATTAACAATCTTATCCACTCCAAAATTTCCAGTTTTAATCACCCCATCAAACACATCTGTTCTGTATGACATCCTCTTCTTCTATCCTCTTTAGAGTACTCTGATTCCTAAAACTCTTTTCCTGTCTGTAAAAATAAAAAAAAATAAAGAACAACAACAACAGAAATAACAACAAAAACCACATCACTTCTAGTCAGTTGTTCCTGCTAGCAATTTATCACCATGAATCTCACTCAAGTCCTCACTCTCCTCCTTACCTTCCTTAGCTTCTATGGCCTAATATTAAAATATTCCTTCTATCATTGCCACATGGCCAACCTTAATCCTGTTTAGAACTAACTCTTTTCCTATCTTGCTCCTGAAATATAGCAGCTAATCACAAATGGTGGCAAAATGCATAATATGTTTGCTGTGATCACATTAATTTCATAACCACACTCATTAAGGGGGCCTTAGTGTAGCTCTGTCATCCCTCTTCATTTTCACTTATCCAGTCCCATGGGAAATTATTTTATTTTAGATTTCCATTGCCTTGGGAAATTATTCTCTTCTCTCTTCAAACTTTCGAGCCCTTCTCTTCTGCAACCTCACTTTCAGTTAATGAGCTTGCTTATTATTTCATTGAGGAAGTAGAAGTAACTAGAGGAAGATTCTTGCATGCTTCCACCACCATATAGAGCAACATCATTACCCATATGCCTTACCTGATTATCAAGGCAAACCCACCTATTTAAGTACTAAACCCATCCACTTCAGTGCACTCAAGGCCATTGCTCTTGCTAAGGCTTTGTCTCTTGCATCATCATTTTTTTCACTAGTGTTCTCTTTCTATTGGTACATAAACACAAACTATGTTGAAGAAATCTTCCCTTGATTCTATATCCCTTCACATAGTCCCTGTCCCATTTTTCTCCTCTATAGAGAAGAGTTTTTGTAGTCACAGTTTTTTTCTCTTCTCTTCCCATTCCTTCTTGGACCCACTCTGTTCAGGCTTGTGTTCTTGCTGTGCCACAGGGGCTGCTCTTGGCAAGGACACAAAAATCCTCTGCATTATATTGTCTAGTGGTCATTTATTTTTAGACATTCAATTTAACCAAATAGTATCATTTACACAAACATTATTCACACATTATTACTTGAAACAACTTCTTTACTTGACCTTCATAATACCAACCTTGTTTTTCTACACACCTCACTGGCTGCTCCTTCTCATTCTCCTTTGATAATTCCTCTACACCTCCCAGATCTTTAAACACGGGTATGTTTCAGGACTCAGTTATCTCACACAGGTGATCTTTTTGTATTCTGCAGCTTTAAATGTGACCATCAACTTTAAAATTCCTAAATTTATATTTCTAGTCTGAATTTCTCCCTGGAACTGGAAACTCATATCTTCATTTCTTGATATCTCTATTCAGATATCCAATATGCATCTGTAAAAGAAAGATTGCACCAGATAAGTTAAATGGGAAATGAAGACTTTATTCAAGACTATTGCAATAAAGGAGAAAGATTGAACTCAACTCTGATAAAACAAAAGATGAGAGAGTTTCAAGCACTGAAGTGAGCTAATGGAAGAACAGTGGAAAACTGGCATCAGGGGAAAGATTGATTCAGGTGATTAGCACATCAGTTTTTGCAATTGGTGCTTATTGAAGTTAGACTCCTCCCCTCCCACAGAGACTAAGAAATAGAGATGCTTTCTTTCTTTTTATCTTTTAAAGTTTATTTTGATTTCAATTGACATGTAATAATTGTGTATGTATGTATATATATGTATATGTGTGTGTGTATATATAATATATATATATGCCTATAGTCATATACCTATATGGTACATTTGAGAGGGATAGTGTAATGTTTCAATATATGTATACATTATGTAATCATCAAATCAAGGTAATTAGCATATCCATCACCTCCAACACCCGTCATATCTTTGTGGTGAGAAAATTCAAAATCCTTTTTTCTAGCTATTTTGAAGTATATAATACATTATTCTTTACTGTAGTCACCTTACTTTGCAATAGGACACCAGAAATTATTCCCCCTCTCTAACTAATTTTGTACCCATTGACCAACATCTCCCCATCTCCCCCACCTCTGGTAACCACTATTCTACTCTCCACTTCTGTGAGATCAACTTCTTTATAATCCACATATAAGTGAGATCATGTGGTATTTGTCCTTTTGTACTTGGTTTATCTCACATAATATAAAAAGACAAAATAACAAATGCTAGTGAGGGTGTGGGGAAAGGGAACTCTTATATATACTGTTAATGGGAATGTGAATGAGTATAGCCATTATGGACAACAGTGTGTAAGTTCCTCAAAATACTAAAAATAGAATTACCGTATGATACAATAATCCAACTACTGGGTTTACATCAAAAGGAAATAAAATCAGTATGTCAAAGAGATGTCTGTGCTCCCATGTTTACTGCAGCACTATTTAAAATAGCCAAGATATGGAATCAACCTAAATGTCAATCAACAAATCAATGGATTAAAAAATGTGGTGCATATGTAAACAATATAAAACTACTCAGCCATAATAATAAACAAAATTCTGTCATTTGGAATAACATGGATAAACCTAGAGGTGCCATCTTTCTTAAAGATTACATGTCAAAGGGATTGCTTCTAGCAGCTTGGGAAGAATATTTCTGGGATGTGGAAGATTTGGATCTCAAGAGGGCAGAAACAGTTTTCTCTTGCAAATTATCTAAAATTAGTGTTCTTTAAAAAGAAATGCTATGAGCCTATAGTCAGGAAGAAACTTGTCCAAAATTTAGTCAACTTGAGGGGAATTTTAAGGCCATCCTGGTCACATCTCAAGCTTAAAATCACCAAAAATGAATTATTGATTTTCTTCTACCCTCAAACTTGTCCATCCCCCAGCATTCTCCAACTCAGTTGCAATTATATTCTTCCAGTTATTTGGGTCAAAAACCTTAGAGTCAACACTGATACTTTCTACCTTCCTCTCTGTCTCTCCCCAGCACCCCCACTCACTTCCAATTCCTCTTTAATCTTTATCTAGCTTCCAACCACTTTTCATCAGACTTTTCACTCCACCCTAGCCCAAGGCAGCAAAATTGTCCAATGTATTATTAAATTACTTTCCTAACTATTCTTTCTGGTTTCATTCTTTCTTGTCCTACAGTCTACCATTTAGACTGCCAAGTTTCTATTCCACTCAAATCCAAAGCTGTTATCTTGGCTTAAAAAGCTCAATATATTCTTCTTCCTGTTTTCTCCTTACTTTAATCTCGACCTTTGCCCTCACACTCTAGATTCTCCGTGCATATTTGCCTTTCTGAGTCACATGTGCCTCTTTGTTGTCCCTCATACATTCCAATCATGTCTCTATCTCCAGAATTTATGACTTGCTTTCTTCATTGTTTGAAACACTCTTCATACAGATACCATCTTTCTTTCTTCTTTCTTCTGTCAGGTCTCAGTTCCAATGTCAAATGTTATTACCTATTTTGGTCTTTCCCTAAGCTCATGTAATATTACAATATAACAGCCCTGTTTTTTCTTCATAGTTCTTATCACCACTTGGTATATTATTGTGTTTGCTTAACTGTTTGTCTGTCCAATTAGAATATATGTTCTTTGAGAACCAGGGCTTCTTATATGTTTGTTTACTAGAGAAAGTGTGCCAGGAGCAGAGTAAGCAATAAGTATTTGTAAAATAAATGAATAAATTTTCTGCCTTAGATTAATGGTTACAAATGGCTATTGACTCCCATTAAAGCACTTCACAATCTTCAGTGAATCAGTGCTATGCCCTTTTTTATTCTTTCAGCCCTGGCGTCTCTTACCTTCAGTGATTTAATCATCAACATATTTGATTATCTTGGCTGCACAGATAATAATCTTCAGTGTTTGAACTATTTAATGAAAAAACTATACTTGAAACTAACCTCTTAGCTCTGCAATGTATTTCTCTGCATATAAATACCTGCATTCTCATTTCTCCCTATCCTTTTGACCAACTACAGCTATCTCTGTCTGGATTATGATCTCTAAGTTACTTAACTTCACTCTAGTCTTGCTTACTCTTCTCTCTCATTCAACCCCTTCTCTCCTAGGATGAGTTCTCTAATCAGTCAATTTGGTACTGTGCTCATTACTGCTCCTAATTCATTCATATTTTAGCAAACACTTACCATGCTGAGGCTTCTGATCCTCAGCATTTGTAAAAATCTAACATTTATTGTATCTGTTGTAATTCCTTGGTTTCATGTGGCATCTTTCAGCCTACTCAGTAATCTTTTTGTTCACACACTGATTTTTTTTTTTGGTTCATGTTTCCATGGTCTGTAGATTCCATTGTATATGGTCTAAAATCATGCCTATGTCCCTCTAAACATAAATCTAATTTACTTTTTCTATTACAGTCAGTAGACAGCTTTATATTTAATTTTATTTTAGTCATTTGATGTGAGATTTTCCAGATTTCTCCTTAGCACTAAAATGCATCCCTTTTTAAAATAGAATTCATCTCTTCCTTAACTCCAATATTCAACAAAAAGATTATTTTTTGTTACCCTAAACCTCCAAATTCTATACTTGTTAACAATCTATCCCATCTTATTTGGGATCTTCTTCCCATATACTCAGGGGTTATTTTTCTCCAGCATATTTAATCAACCCTGTCTCTCTGTTTATAATTATTCATTATTTTAATCATTTTATGGTAGTCATTTTTTGTTATTTGTCTACTTTGATTAGTTGGGAATTTTTAAGAACAAAGATAAAGTCTAACTATTTCCAATATTTTCCACATTATAAATCTATCACACTGTAAATACTGAATAAATGAATGTTATTAAGGCTTTGAAAAGAGCATGGGGAAATATAGAATATTGTATAGAATATTAGATGCCTTTCTCGATTCACCCCAGAATTGCCATAAACTAATAGCTAATTACTCCAAATTTGTGATTGTGGTAGTGGTGGTGGCAGCAAGGCATTATTTACTTAAAATATTTGATATTTTATGGCAATGTTCTTAAAGCTTTCCGAAATCTAAAGCTGAGTCCTGACTAGTCTTAGAGCTTCTTTGGCCTCGTTTCAGAGTCTAGTTGAATGATTAATGAAATCCTTACTCTCCATTTGCCTTTTGAATGTTCTATTGAATCTGCATTGAATCCGACCTCATTCATCAGGCGTGTTGTCTGGAAGAGTCTCAGAGAATCCCTTCTGGGAGTTTTAGAGTCTTCCATTTGACCTTGGAGAGAAACCGATCTTGAAATTGTACTATGCAACCGAATTTTCCTTTTGTTATACCTTCTTAGTGACCACAAAAGCAAAGGAGTCTATAAAGACATTATGTTAAGAAAAAAAATATTTGTATTGATTCACTGGAGTTGCATTTTATATTAAAACAAAGGCCCGAATTTTATCATTCTTTCTAGTGTATTTAATTTTGACAGCTATTAGATGGCTCTCTGTTATTGTCAAAACATATTATGGTCGTTTTCTAATTTTTCTACTCTCATAAGTTTCAGTTCTTGTAGCAAAGATGACAAAACATTTTATTACTTTTATTTTAGAAAACTTTTTCAAATAATTTTTATTCAGATTCTTGTTGAGCTATCTACACAACTTCCTCTGCAAGAAGAAATTTTAAAATCCCCCTTTGAACTATTCTTTAATATAACTGAAGGAGTATATTAAAATTTTTACAAACAAACAAAAAACCCTATATCTATATCTTTTGTCAGAAATAGGTAGTGTTTAGGTGGAAAGAGAAGTATGATGGAGTTTGAGAAGCTCTGCTTAATTTCTTATTTTGTCACCAAGATTCCAAGAACTTTTTTAAAAAAAAATAATGGTCCTGTTACAGCCGTTCTCCTTCACCTGCTTGCTATTTCCACTAAAACGGATTTATGTTGAACATCCCATACCACTCCAGAGTGGTATACTTTTTACAGTTGATGAACCTGCATTAACACATCATTATCAATTAACATCCGTAGTTTATTTCAGGGTTCACTTTGGGTGGTATACATTCTCTGGATTTTGACAAATGAAAAATGATATGTAGCCACTATTGTAGCATCATACAAAATAGTTTCACTTCCCTAAAAATCTTCTGTGCTTCAACTATTCTTCCCTCCTGCCTCCCTAACTCTTGGAAATCAATGATCTTTTTTACTATATCCATAGTTTTGTTTTTTCCAGAATGCCATATTTTGAAATCATATAGTATGTAGCCTTTACAGATTGGCTTCTTTTACTAAGTAATGTGCATTTAAGCTACCTGTTTGTCTTTTCATGGCTTGACAGCTCATTTCTTTATGTTTTTTTCTTTTCTTTTCTTTTCTTTTTTTTTTTTTTTTTTTTTGAGATGGAGTTTTGCTCTGTCATCCAGGCTGGAGTGCAGTGGCCGCAATCTCGGCATACTGCAACTTCCATCTCCCGGG